ATCCGCTTGGTATGCAGAAGGTCCCAGGTGAAATCCCTGGTGTCGCAGGAGAAGGCAGTAGGTGACGTGAAAGACCTCCGTCTGAGACCCTGGAGAGCTGCTGCCAGTCTGAGTAGACAAACCTGAACTGGATGGACCAAGGGTCTGATTCGCTATAAAGTAGCTTCAGGTGTTCTACCTCAACTCCTACCTTCTCCCCTTATCCTGAAAGATTCAAGGTGTAATTTACGCCAAATTGCAGGCTCATGGATATATAACCTAATATGAACAAAATACATACCATGAGATGGCAACAAATATGCACAGACTCTTCTTTAAATTTACTTATAAATAATGTCATGGTGCTCAAAAGAACTTATATTACATACAATCCTTGTTATCTGTATCAATGCAAGTGCTACAAAAGGCAATCTTGCCTACTTCTTACAACAACCCTTTGAAACAAACAACGGCAAGTACTATTACGCAATGCAGCCTGTGAAAGATTCTGACGGGGTCCCGGTTTACTTTCCGCCCATTTCTTTGTCTTTATCAAAGAGTCCTCACCAATGCTCCCTCTCAGCTGTGGAATCTTGTGAGCAAAAATTCTACTTTGTGAGCTACCGACATGATGTGGGCTAGAGGCTAAAAAACTGTGAGCCAGCTCACACTAACTCAGCTTAGAGGGAACACTGGTCCTCACACATAAATTCTACACAGAAGGACGACGTCTGAAACAAAGCTGCTCCTAATTTAAGTCTGTCTGTAGAAGTTATGTGTGAGGATTCTTTGAGAAAGACAAAGAAACGGGCTGAAAGTAAACCGGGACCCTGTGCTGCATTGTGTAATAGAACATGCCGTTGTTTCAATGGGTTGTTGTAAGAAGTAGACAATGTTGTCATCTGTAGTACTTGTACTGATACAAATAACAAGGACTGTATATAATATAAGCTCTATTGAGCACCATTACATTATTTATAAGTAAATTTGAAAAAGAAGAGGAGGAGGAGGAAGAGGAGGAGGAGATTGGATTTATACCCTGCCCTTCACTCGGAGTCTCAGAGCGGCTTACCATCTCCTTTCCCTTCCCCTCCCCACAACAGACACCCTGTAAGGCAGGCGGGGCTGAGAGAGCTCTGACAGAAACTGCTCTTTTTCAAGAACAGCTGTGCCAGAACTATGGCTTGCCCAAGGTCATCCAGTAGCTGCAAGTGGAGGAGTGGGGAATCAAACCCGGTTCTCCCAGATTAGAGTCCGTGCACTTAACCACTACACCAAACTGTCTGTGCATATTTGTTGCTATTTCATGGTATGTATTTTGTTCATATGAGGTAATTCACACCAAGCCTTGGCTCCCCACAACCACCACGACTGGCCCCCATAAAAGCTCCTCAGCCTGGTTTCCCATCACATGTCCATCTGACAAAGCAGACTGTGTGACCCACAAAAGCTCACGCTAAAATAAACACTGGCAAGTGTTTTCAAGTTGCCACTGGACATTTGCTTCCTTCATGGGTCTAAAAAAGCCTCGCTGCGATTCCAGACGCACCCCCTTTCCCATTCCACCTTCCACAGGCAGACGACGGATACCTGGTGTCGATGTCTGCAGCTTGGATGGTGTTGAAGAGCAGTTCGGCAACGCCCACCCCTTCCACGTTGATCAGGTGAGGCTGGAACAGAGCCTCCGGGGCCTCGAACCGTTCGCCGCCCACTTTGATGATCCTGCCGTCGGGGAGCTGGAGAACAAAAGGCGCCCCAGAAGTTATTAGATCTCTACTGGCCACTGTGTGACACAGAGTGTTGGACTGGATGGGCCTTTGGCCTGATCCAACATTGGCATCTCTTATGTTCTTATGTACTGAATGCAAGCTGCGTCTTGCAAGCACGTCGTTGTTACTGGGAACCCCCCCCTCCCCTTAACCAGTGCCGGCTCAAGCGTGCAAGGGTGAATTCCCGACCACTCTATTGGAGGGGGGACATGATTGCTCTCTTTAAATATTTGAAAGGCTGTCACTTGGAGGAGGGCAGGGAGCTGTTCCAGTTGGCGGCAGAGGAGAGTACCCGAAGCAACAGGTTTAAATTACATGCAGAAAGGTATCGGCTGGATATCAGGAAAAACTTTTTCACGGTCAGAGTGGTTCAAAGGTGGAATCGGCCGCCTAGGGAGGAGGTGAGCTCCCCTTCACTGACAGCTTTCAAGATGAGGCGGGGCGAATATTTGTCAGAGATGCTTTAGGCTGGTCCTGCATTGGGCAGGGGGTTGGACTACTAGATGGCCTGTATGGCCCCTTCCAACTCTATGATTCTATGATCACATAATGCGTTAGCTTAGCTTGCTCTACGGCAGCGAACCACAGCAGGGTACCCGGTGGTACCAAGGCACCCACTGACACTTCCCCTAGTGTATGACTAAAAAGTAAGCTGTGGCAGCCATTTTGAGCCTGGCTCCGCCTCTGGCAGCAGCCATTTTGTGGCTGGGCTCACCGTGTTGGGTCAGAATTCCAAAGAAACCTGTGGACTCAAAAAAAAAGGTTCGGGACCCCTGTTCTACAGAGTGCTGGTTGCTTTGACAGGGCAAACGTCACAGTCCTCATTTTGAAAGAGGAAGATAAACAGCTTTAAGATTTCACTCATGACTTCTGCCTTTGGAAAGAACGTACTTACTGCCAATATTCCCTTATAAGCTGTGGAGTGTGGTGAACAAAACTTCTACTTTGTGAGCTACTGGGATTAACGTTGTGAGCGAGTGATTTGGCCGCTGCATACATTAGTTTGCTCTGGAGCCATCCCTTCCTGAGCTATGATGAAAATGTCTGAGCCGGAGGCTAAAAAACTGTGAGCTAGCTCACACTCACTCAGCTTAGAGGGAACACTGCTTACCGCTGCTAATTTACGATGTTCAACACAGCAACAGACTATCACATGTAATTAATGTGCTACTGGGGGGGAACCCTAACAGTAGACAAAGAGGAGAAGAAGAGATTGGATTTATACCCCGCCCTTCACTACCCAAAGGAGTCTCAGGGCGGCTTACAATCTCCTTTCCCTTCCCACAACACACACCCTGTGAGGTAGGTGGGGCTGAGAGAGCGCTCTCAAGAACTGCTCTTTTGAGAACAGCTCTGAAAGAACTTGTGACTGGCCCAAGGTCACACCAGCGGCTGCATGTGGAGGAGGGCGGAATCAAACCTGGTTCTCCCAGATTACAGTCTGCGCTTCTCACCACTACACCAAACTGGCACCAAAGAGATCCCAATGGCTGGATCCAACCTGTTTGCTTTCCACTCTGCATTGGACAAGTAGCCGGACGCCAACTCACCGTGTAGGACTCCACCAGCACGGTCGTTTCCAAGGCCAGCTTCTGCTCCTGCTCAATATTGTAGCCCACGTAGCAGAGCTTCTCTTTAATCATGCGCACCGTCTCAAAATCGGCGGAATGGTTGAAGGCGTAACCTCGTAGCAAGAGCAGCTGGGGTGAAAGGAAGCGCAGTTAGTGACGGATCGGGAAAACGCTGTACCTCCCCTACATAGCCTCTACAAAGGAAAAGGGCTGCTGAAGCCCATTCACCGAAACAGCACGTTACGCAGAAAAGACGCTGGAGCTTTCAGGTCCTGCAGTTTGCTCTTGGGGCACGAGTGGGAATTGCTAATGTGCCATTTGTCCAGGGACAGAGCATCATTTTCACAAGGTATTCTCTCGATATCTGAGCACAAAATACAAATGAACAGCACAGCAGGAAGGTGCAGGTTTCCATTTCTGAAACCAGCAGAGGTTACTGAGATATTGCAAAGCTCAGGCTAACTTTCGATTTCTTTAAGTTCTGTTTCTCATTGCCGTCACTTGTCATGTTAAATTCCTGAGGGGTGTGTGTGTTGTTGGACTGCGTGGGAGTAGAGGCCCTAACTCTGCTGAAGAAGCGCCCCAGGTTAGTTCCTGTGGGACTGACCTTGGAGGATCTCTCTGCCAGCCTAGTTTAGATAGGGCACCATACATCTATCTGTGTTGCCATAGTAACGCTAGGGGTCGGTGTGACGTGAATGGATGTGGAATTTTATGCTGCTACCTATATCTTGTAATTTCCTGTGAATTTCCTCAGTCCTAACAAAAGCTCTTGAACCCACAGCGTCATATCTCTAATAAAGCGTTACAAGGCCAATCATGTGTGTGGAGACTGAATTAGCTGGGGACCTGACAGATATGCTCCACGACTGTCTTCAAGAAGACCCCGAGGTTTTGACTTGCCAAATGATTCTGTTGCCCACGTCCTCGGGGAAGTAGAAGAGGAGATTGGATTGAAACCCCGCCCTTCACTCCCCAAAGGAGTCTCAGAGCGGCTTACAATCTCCTTTCCCTTCCCCTTCCCACAACAGACACCCTGTGAGGCAAAAGAAGAACAGGAGATTGGATTCATACCCTGCCCTTCACTCCCCAAAGGAGTCTCAGAGCGGCTTACAAACTCCTTTCCCTTCCCCTCCCCACAACAGACACCCTGGGAGGTCGGTGGGGCTGAGAGAGCTCTGACACAAACTGCTCTTTCTCAAGGACAGCTCTGAGAGAACTGTGGCTTGCCCAAGGTCATCCAGCCAGGTGCAAGTGGAGGAGTGGGGAATCAAACCCGGTTCTCCCAGATTAGAGTCCGCGCACTTAACCACGACACCAAACAGGGGAGGGGAGGGGCATGACCTTGAGGGAACTCAAAACCAACTCTTCTTGGTCAGGCTAGCCTGGGACATCTAGGACATGCCTTCCTCTGCGTAGGGACCCTAGACGTCCTTGGTGGTCTCCCAGCCCACTACTAGCCAGGGCCAACCCTGCTTAGCTTCTGAGATCTGAGGAGATCAAGCTAGCCAGCCCGGGCCACGCAGGTCAGGGGAGAAGTGGCTTGCCGTTGCTTGCCTCTGCGTAGCAACCTTCACTGTGTGACTGAAGGTGAGCTGCGGCGGCCATTTTTTTCTGCATCTGGCTCTCACGTCCTGAGGTGGCCATATGGCGAAAATGCCCACCCTGCTGTGTCAGAATTCCAAAGGGGCTCTTGGGCTAAAAAAGCGTGGAGACCCCTGCTTAAAGGAGTGCCTTCTTGCTCCTATAACTGCCTGCCCATTTGAGGTCTCTTTTGGAGCCCTGAACCCCCCAACCTTCTGAAGGGAGGCAGGAGACCACAGCAGACGGGGCCTCCCTCTGGGGTGGCACTTCACCGACTCAATGCCTAGCCCCAAACACCTGCTGGAATTTAAGCAACGATTTAAGACTTGCTTGGTTCTCTTCAGCATCTCGTTGCCGCGCCACTCTCCCCGGGGAGGTTTTGAATTGTGTGCCTCCCCATGACCTTATTTTATGTTGCGGATGTGAGTCGGCTTCGAAGGGCCGTGCCGTTGCGTCTAAAGGTTTGCGCCGGCTATTTTAGTCATTTTAAAGGAATCGTATGCACATTTACGGAAGAAAGTCACACGGAAGGGAGATAACCGAAGCCAGTTCCTCTCGGGGAAGGTGAGCAGTGTTTTCGGTGAATTTATGTAGAACACTCTTGATCTGTTGCTGGCCACCGAAAACTAAACGGCAGCGGCAGACCCCGAAAGGGGAACTAAAGGATACAGAGAGGTAGCCGGGATTTCAGAAAGTTTCTGAAGAAAGGGAGTTCCAGTCACTGCCTTTGGGTACCCCGGAAAGCCCCTTTCTTCCACAACGGATTCCGGTCTCCTGCCGAATAATAATTTCCTCGACGGGGGTTTCCATTTCGGTCTTATCACAGGCTTTCAAACAAAATAAAACCGAAGGGGGACTGGGATTGACGGGGCCTTCTGCTCGGATTTAATTACCTTGATGAGGTATCTGGTAATATCTCTGCCAGCGATGTCGAGCCTCCTGGTGAGATGAGGAAGGGAGAAACCTTCGTAGACGGGACAGATGTGGGTCACGCCGTCTCCAGAATCCACGACGACGCCTGTCAGTAACCCTGGACAGGAAGAGCAGGGGGTGGGGGGAAAAATCACCTGGAGATGAGAAATGTCGTAAGTGGAAGGACTCGGGATCATATTGGGAGGAGGTGATCAGGTTCTAAAACCTTAACCTTGTTTGACTTCCCTCCTTGCTGAGAGGCGGCCGGCTTTTCAGCAGAGCGACCAAAAATAAACCTGACATGCACGTTTCCTTTACGGTACAGGAAGGATCGATGCGAAAGAGACCTTAGGCCGTGTTTATCTTCGGCCTGATGATTTATCGGTTGCTATTCTGAGAATGTTAGTCATTTCACCTTTCAACAGAGTGAAATTCTGCATACAGACGTTGCCAAATGCCCACAGGAACAGGAAGTGGACCAAAGTATGTTCCTGCTGGGGGGGGGGGCAGGACTCCCGAAGTACATGGGGAAGGAAGCACAACTAAGCAACATTTCCTCCCCTCTTCTGTTTCCCTCCTTCCCTGCCACCTATTTGCTTCATTTGTAGCCCAACTTTCTCCCCAAAGCACCTTTCCTCGTTCTCCTGTTTTGCCCTCACAACAACCTTGTGAGGCAGGTTAGACTAAGAGAGTGCAACTGGCCCAAGGTCACCCAGCGAGCTTCCATGGCAGAATGGAGGATTCAAACCCGGGGCTCCCAGATCCAAGCCCGACACGCCAACCACTCCACCGCACTGGAGATTTGCAGGTCCCATAAAAAACACGACAACCTGTACTAAGATAAAGAATTGATATACAAGTCTCCTAGCAATTAAGTGTTTGGGGGCAGATGAGGAGGAGGAGGAGAAGAAGAAGAAGAGATTGGATTTATACCCCGCCCTTCACTACCCGAAGGAGTCTCAGAGCGGCTCACAAACTCCTCTCCCTTCCCCTCCCCACAACAGACACCCTGTGAGGTAGGTGGGGCTGAGAGAGCTCTTGATAGAAACTGCTCTTTTTCAAGAACAGCTCTTATCAGAACTACGGCTTGCCCAAGGTCATCCAGCAGCTGCATGTGGAGGAGTGGGGGATCAAACCCGGTTCTCCCAGATTAGAGTCCGCGCACTTCACCACTACACCAAACTGGCTCTCAAGTGCGCTGCCGTCTTCAAAGACCTTTCCTTACAGTGCAATCCTAAAACCACTTGCTTGGGAGTCAGCCCCACTGAATAAAATGGGACGTTCTTCTGAACAGACCTGTTTGGGATTGCTCGCTTAACGGCCCATGAAGCCCAGATCCTACGGGAATTGCTCTGGCCCATGATCCCTCTTGCAGTAGTTTCAGACAGGGTCACAGACCCTAGAAATAATCCGGCTCGCTGCTGAAGCCTGGAGCGCAATCTAGGATCCGTCTTTATAAGATCCATCCTGAAGGATGGCCAGTGTATTTCCACACTCCTCTAGGAGAATGGCGCGAGTGACCAAGACACTTCAAGGCTTCTATTTGGCGGTCTGGAAAGGACTCATTAGGACAGCCTCTTGTGGGAGACAGTTTGACAGAGCCCTATGCGAACCGCATAAATGCATCTTAGCTGAACCCGAGTGTCCTCATTCACAATCTTCCTTTCTCTTTATGGGCCTTCTGATGGTGAAGATGGGTTGTGTTCAATACTCTCCATCAGCTGTGGAGTCTTGTGAGCAAAAAATTCTACTTTGTGAGCTACTGGCATTAACGTTGTGAATGAGCGATCTGGCTGCTGAATAAATTAGTTTACTCTGGAGACATCCTTCCTGAGCTAAGACAAAAAAAAAAATGTGTGCCAGCTCACACTCAGCTTAGAGGGAACACTGGTCGTGTTTCTCTTCCCCCCCCCCTCAAGTAAAAAAAAAAAGGATTTCGGCTGCTACTCAGCGGAGGAATAAAAGAAACAGAGAGCGACCATTTCCCAACGAGCACTTAAACCCATAGCCTGACATACAGCACTGTTTAGAAAATACACTGCTGTAGTCCATAAGAAGTCGTGTTGGATCAGGTCAGTGGCCCCTCCAGTCCAACACTCTGTATCACACAGTGGCCAAAAATACCAGGGGCCATCAGGAGGTCCACCAGTGGGGCCAGAATTCCAGAAGCCCTCCCACTGTTGCCCCCCCAAGCACCAAGAAGACACAGCATCATTGCCCCAGACACAGTGTTCCATCTATACCTTGTGGCTAATGGCCACTCATGGACCTCTGCTCTTAAGAACATCAGAGAAGCCATGCTGTGTCAGGCCGTCAGGAGGTCCATGAGCGGGGCCAGAACTCCACAAGCCCTCCCACTGTGGACCCCCAAGCACCAAGAATACACAGCATCTATACCTTGTGGCTAATGGCCACTCATGGACCTCTGCTCTTAAGAACATCAGAGAAGCCATGCTGTGTCAGGCCGTCAGGAGGTCCATGAGCGGGGCCAGAACTCCACAAGCCCTCCCACTGTGGACCCCCAAGCACCAAGAATACACAGCATCACTGCCCCCGATTGAGTGTTCCATTGATACCTTGTGGCTAATGGCCACTCATGGACCTCTGCTCTTAAGAACATCAGAGAAGCCATGCTGTGTCAGGCCGTCAGGAGGTCCATGAGCGGGGCCAGAACTCCACAAGCCCTCCCACTGTGGACCCCCAAGCACCAAGAATACACAGCATCACTGCCCCCGATTGAGTGTTCCATTGATACCTTGTGGCTAATGGCCACTCATGGACCTCTGCTCTTAAGAACATTAGAGAAGCCAGGTTGGATCAGGCCAATGGCCCATCCAGTCCAACACTCTGCAGCAGAAGAAGCAGCAGAAGAGGAGAAGAAGAATTGCTTTTATGCCCTGCTCTTCACTACCCAAAGGCGTCTCGGAGCGGCGTACAATCGCCTTCCCTTCCACTCTCCACAACAGGCCCCTTGGTGAGGTAGGTGGGGCTGAGAGAGCTCTGAGGGGACTGTGACTGACCCAAGGTCACCCAGCCGGCGGAGTGTGGAGGAGCGGGGAATCAAACCCGGTTCCTCAGATTAGAGTTTGCCGCTCTTAACCACGACACCAAGATGGCTCTTGAGTCAATTCGTCTCATTTTGGGTCTCTCCTACTCTCCCGCCTTCAATTTTTCCTAGTATTATTTGCCTTCTCCAGTGACTCTTGCCCTCTCATGATGCGACCGAATGATAATAGCCTCAGTTTAGTCATTTTGGCTTCTAGGGAGAGTTCAGGCTTGATTCGATCCAGAACCCCCATCTTTGTCTTTTGGGGGGGTCCACGGTATCCGTAAAACGCTCCTCCAACACCACATTTCAAAAGAACCAATTTTCTTCCTATTGGCTTTCTTCCCTGCCCGACGGTCGTGCCCATACACCCAGCGGCTCGAAAGCCCTTAAAGTGGCAATTAGACAAATGGGTACCCACTCCTTAGGAGTGGGGGGGCACCCTACCTCCAATACCGGAGGGCAGCAGCGGTGGCCAAGCAATGCGGCGAACAACGAGCGAGCCAGCAGAAAAAGAACATGGCGACAGATCGGCGGCAAAAACAGCAGGCGACTCGTGGAGGCGTGGTCAGGGCGGCGTGGAGGTGCGGTGACGTAAGCGCGGTCGGAGCCTGCGGGACAGAGACCAGTGCGACTCATCGCACAGCCGCACGCCACGGAGGGCCGTCCCAGGGGAGCCGAGCCGAAGAGAACAGACCTCCACCGGAAAAAGACACTACCGCTTGGTTCCAGCAAGACCCGCCATAGAAAGAAAAGACCTACGCTGATTAGGTGCCTGGTAAGGCATCCATCTCCCTTGAAATATATGTGGCCCTAGTTAGATGATTAAATATATGTGTAAACCGCTCCGAGCCTTCGGGAAGGAGCGGTATAGAAATGGAATGAAATAAATAAATAATAATAAATAATAGTGGGGATTTTAAATAAATACATACATATAATAACCACAGCTTCCCCCCCACCCCCATCCTTCACTCTTCACTGCCCGACTGTTGTGCCCATACACATTAGTGGGGATTTTAAATAAATACATACATATAATAACCACAGCTTCCCCCCCACCCCCATCCTTCACAATGCAAGCCTTATCGTAATGTTACACCAGCTTTCTTCTAGAACTTTTATTGGAACACATGCTGACATCACAATCCCATTGGTCATAATGGACAGGGTCTGCTCTGGCTAAGCTACGAAGGTGAAGACGGTCTTCTCTTCTCAGGAAAGAGGGCGGTCGATTGAACGGACTGTGGAGCCTTTTAGATCAATACGCAAAGGAGTGTGCTTCCAAAAGAAATTAAGTCACGGGAAAGAGCCTGAGCCTCAGAAAAGCTAAAGAAAGAAAAGATAAGGGACCTGATCCAAGGATTCCTTTTATACACGCCCAGGGAAATGTCGATCGCCACTTTGGGGCCGGGAAGCAATTTTCCTCCAGGCCGGTTTGGCCGGGGATCCTGGAGGGTTCTTTTTGGTCATCTTCTAGGCATGAAGCAGGGGTCACTAGCAGTGTTCCCTCTAAGCTGAGTTAGTGTGAGCTAGCTCACAGTTTTTAAGCCTCCGGCTCACACATTTTTGCCTTAGCTCCAGAGCAAACTAATTTATGCAGCAGCCAAATTGCTTGCTGACAACTTTAATGCCAGGAGCTCACAAAGTAGGATTTTTGCTCACAAGACTCCACAGCTTAGAGGGAACATTGGTCACTAGGGGTGTGGGGGGAGGTATTTGTGGATTTCCTGCATTGCGCAGGGGGGGGTTGGACTAGATGACCCTGATTCTATGATTCTAAGACAGGTAAGGTGACGTACCATCAAGTGGCAACTGGCTTGAGGCAACCCCATCCACAGGGTGTTACGGGCGGGAGGTGGCTTGCCATTGCCTGCCTCTGCGTAGCAACCCTGGGCTCCCTTGGAGGTCTCCCATCCAAGGACTAACCGGGGCTGACCCTCCTTAGCGTCTGAGCTCTGATGAGACTGGGCTAGCCTGGGGCAGTCAGGTCAGGCCAGAAGTGGTTTGCCATTGTCTGCCTCTGTGTAGCAACCCTGGACTTCTTTGGGGGGGGGGGGTCTCCCATCCAAGTACTAACCGTGCTGGACCCTGCTTAGCTTCCGGGCTATGACAAACTTGGGCTAAGCTGGGTTACTCAGTCTGCTACCTCACCCGAGTTTGTGATAAAACATGGGTGAACTGTGATGGCCCCACCCCACAACATCACACCTTCCCGTAGCAGTGACCAAATCGCGTTAATCATGGTGTGGGTTGCTAATCGTCAGTAGGGCATTAACAAATAACTGGAGCTGGGCTACTGGCTGCCACTACAGAGGAAGGCTGGGGAGGTAGAACCTGAGGTAATTTCTGTGAACCTGAGGTAATTTCTGTGAACCTGAGGTAATTTCTATGGCTTTCCCCACCCTCCCCTTCTCCTGGAGTGATCCACACCAACACCTTCATTTCACGTCACAAAAACAGGTTCCTTGTCATTTCTCCAGAACAGCTTATGCTTAGCGGTTTGAAGGATATGTCAAGGAATGTAACAAGGGATCAGCCATTTAGGATAAGGGAGAGCAGAAGTTCTGATCTGGGGAAGCTAAAATTTGACACAAGTGCCGGCCTAAGTGAAATGACAGGCTATTCCCTAGAGAAAGCGAGAGCGGGTGCTTTCACACCCACTAAATGACACACTTTCAATGCAATTTGCAATGGGGTTTTACTGTGTGAAATGGCAAGATCCACTTGCAAACAGTCTCCGAAGTGGATGGAAACCGCAGTATTTAGCATGTGTGAAAGCGCCTTAGAGAGGGAAGGATTTGGCTCAGAACTCCTTTAACACAAGAATCTCAGCGTCTTGACACAGCATCAGCTCGTTTCTTGGGACTTATTATTTATTTGTTAACTTAAATTTCTAGACCGCCCTCCCCACCCCGAAGGGCTCAGGGCAGTGTACTGGATAGTTAAAACATACAATATTTAGTTAAAAACATCAACTGCCAATAATTCAGTCAACCGCTAACAATGCTCTCGATGATGGCGGTGCAGTATATAATTCCTTCCTCCGTGGGGCAGGGTTATGGGCCGGGTGAGATGGAAAAAACCATAACTGTCCTCAAGCATAGGCCCGGCGGAACAGCTCTGTCTTGCGTGCCCTGCGGAACTGTACTCGGTCCCACAGGGCATGGATGCCTCCAGGCCGAGAGTTCCACCAGACGGGAGTTGGGGCCGAGAAGGCCCCGGCTCTGGTCAAGGAGAGCCGGACATCTTTTGGGCCAGGAACCACCAGTAAGTTTTGATCTTGTGAGAGCAAATGTCTTCTTCAACCTCCTCACAAGTCCCTAACGCACTGTTTCCTTGAGGTAAAACAGGACACCTGCTCTATCCCTGCCTCTTTATAGGCCTTCAACCTCCCCACAGAGAGCCAGTTTGGTGTAGTGGTTAAAGTGCATGGACTCTAATCTGGGAGAGTACTAACTGTGCTGGACCCTGCTTAGCTTCCGGGCTAGGACAAACTTGGGCTAAGCTAGGTTACTCAGTCTGCTACCTCACCCAAGTTTGTGATAAAACATGGGTGAACTGTGATGGCCCCACCCCACAACATCACACCTTCCCGTAGCAGTGACCAAATCGCGTTAATCATGGTGTGGGCTGCTAATCTCACAAGTCCCTAACGCACTGTTTCCCTGTGGTAAAACAGGACACCTGCTCTATCCCTGCCTCTATATAGGCCCCTGAGTCCTATGTACCTAAACCATAGATGTCTGAGAACTTTTTCTTCACCTGGCAAAACCTAACTCTTCTTCTAGTAGTTTTCCCGTTTCTCTGTCACTTCCCCAAGCCCCATCGGAGACAAGAACAGACTTTCCACCTGACTCTCTTCCCTCCCCTTCCTGCTACCTGACACAAATCTGTTATAAAATGCGGTTGCAGTTTAATATACTAGGTGATGATTTCTACACCAGTTATGAACACAAACACACACACTCGTTTGCTAGGAAGCAAACTGGATTCTGGACAATGCCAGTCTTACCAGTGATGTTTATCACTCATTTATTAAAGAACTGCAAAACAAAAGCAACAAAGAGAGAGACCAACTCTGCCAGGGGATTTGTGCTGGGGGAAAAGAAAATACTGGCCATTTTAAATGAGCCTTTGCAATAATTCTCTTTTAAGGTGCATGCAATGAAAAGCAGTGCTTTACTTACCTTGAGCATAAAGAGTGAGCACCGCCTGAATGGCTACGTAGACCCCAGAAAATTGGTAAGTTTCAAACATTACCTGGAAAATAAAAAATATGTCTGTTTATTTAATTCCACCTTTCCTCCAAAATGGTGAGGTCAACATACATGGTTCTCTTCCTCCATTTTATCCCAACGTCCTTGTGGGGTAGTTTATACTAGCAGCGTGTGGCCGGCCCAAGGCCACCCGGAGCAGGGCTCCCAGGGCCCAAGGCCACCCGGAGCGGGGAGAGGCTAATGTTTTTCTTTTTGTCCAAGTCTGTCAATAAACCCAGTCAGTCGAGTTAGTAAAACTTTACACCACTCACTGAAATAAGAGAGAACAAGGTTTAGAAACAAAAGCTGTGTCAACCTGACAACCCCATAATAGCAACAAGGCACAAAATCCACAGTAGCAAAATGCTCTCCCTAAAGAGTCTCCTAACTCTTTAGGCAAGAGTATAAAGATCTGCACCCGGGGTCCCAACGCCCACCAAGTGTTTTCAGAAATCTGGCAGGCCCGGGTGGGGCTTTTGCCCAGCAAGTATTCTGACTGGTCGTGGGAGATCTGATTGGCTGTGCAGATTTTTTAAAAATGTTGCTTTGGCAGCAGTTGTCACCACAACACAAGGATCTTCATTATGTGACTTCATTTGGCAGCCATTATGTTGCTGGCTCCACCTCCTGTAGGAGCCATTTTCTAGCTGCACCCTCCCCCCCCCCTTCTGTGCCAGGATTCCAAAGGTGCCCGTAGTGTCAAAAAGGTTGGGAATCCATGGTCTACATTGTATAGCCCTTGACTCATCGGGGAGACTTTCCGCAGCATGGGCCAAAACACAACCTGCAATGCACAGGACGCAAGTCCAAATGTCAGAACCATCAGGGTTCAAGGCACGGTAAGCAAAACCGCACAACCAGCCGATAATAACCCTACCACTGCTGAAACGAAAGTGCAGGTTCCACATGTAAACTTTTAAAGACACACACACACAAAAACCCCAAGGAATCGTTACATCAACATTCATGGTTCTCTTCCACCCTTTTATCCCAACGTCCTTGTGGGGTAGTTTATGCTAGCAGCGTGTGGCCGCCCCAAGGCCACCCGGAGTGAGGATCCGAGGGCCCAAGGCCACCCGGAGCAGGGAGAGGCTAATGTTTTTCTTTTTGTCAAAGTCTGTCAATAAACCCAGTCAGTCGAGTTAGTAAAACTTTACACCACTCACTGAAATAAATCCAAATGTCAGAACCATCAGGGTCCAAGGCACAGTAAGCAAAACTGCACAACCAGCCGATAGTAACCCTACCACCGCTGAAACGAAAGTGCAGGTTCCACATGTTAGACCACACGCCTGATACCTGGACAAAGATACTGCTGAGATACTCTCAAGACTGCCAAAATACCCAACACCTAGACAAAGACACTGCTGAGATACTCTCAAGACTGCCAAAATACCCAAATAATATGCAAGCATCAGAAGGAATGAACAACTCAGTTTATCAGCATCTCAGACGAGCCGGTTATCAGCAACTGGCTGGCTGGCGCCAAGTCAACAAGATAATAAATACTTCAGGCTTTACAACTTACACCCGTGCTGTGTTGGGAGACTGCTCCCGTTAAAGGGGCATTACATCACAGGGTTAATATTCTAACTTCCTAGGCTGGTTTCATTACTGCAAACTGTGGACACAGCCCCCAAATTAAGCCCACACTGATTTCAGCAGCAGGGACTTTAGCAGGTGCTCAACTGCAGTCAAGAGTTAGTGCGTACCCCTCCCTTTTAACTTGCCATGATGTCTTGCATGTGCCACCCCAGAACTGCTGCATGAATCCATACTTCCTAGTATAGCATTTGCGTAGAAAAGCGTGACCGCTTCCGTCTCCGGCCGTCGGTGGCTTGTCTAGCTACTGCCTGGCTATTGCTTATCTTCCCTGCCACGGCCTCTGCAACAGCAGCTGGAAGGAGAGATTCTCCGGTACGACAGGATCCAGCCACAGTGCGCCAGCCTGCCCTCTCCTGGTGTTCTCTGATGGACACCGGTCCAGTAAAGCAAGAACAGCACTAGGGCAGTTATCAGTCCAATCACTCAACGAGAAGCCTTTCTACGAAGTTTAGTAGCTCTTTTTAATTGTTAAGTTACTTATTAAGAACGTAATTATTATTATTTTTAATTATTAAGAACATAAGAACATAAGAGAAGCCAGTGTTGGATCAGGCCAATGGCCCATCCAGTCCAACACTCTGTCACACAGTGGCCAACAATACCAGGTGCCATCAGGAGTTCCAGCAGTGGGGCCAGGACACTAGAAGCCCTCCCACCAAGCACCAAGAATACAGAGCATCATTTGCCCCAGACCGAGAGTCCCTATCTATACCTTGTGGCTAATAGTCACTGATGGACCTCTGCTCCATACGTTTATCCAAATCCCTCTTGAAGCCGTTCATGCTTGTAGCTGCCACCACCTCCTGTGGCAGTGAATTCCATGTGTGAATCACTCTTTGGGTGAAGAAAAACTTCCTTTTATCCGTTCTAACCCGACCTCTCAGCAATTCCATTGAGTGCCCACGAGTTCTTGTATTGTGAGAAAGGGAGAAAAGTACCTCTTTCTCAACCTGCTCTATCCCATGCATAATCTTATAAACCTCGATCATGTCACCCCTCAGCTGTCGTTTCTCCAAGCTAAACAGCCCCAAGCATTTTAACTGCTGACTTTGGGAAGATTGTTTCTTAATTATTTTTTTGTTACATTTTATTTATTTTGTGTTACATTTTATTCCACCCTCCCCAAAGCAGGCTCAGGGCGGATCACAAAAGCCGAGTCCAAGACTCGTTACAATAAAATCACATTAAAAACAGTTAAAACAATACAAAAATTCATACAGGTAGCAAGAGTTTCACATCTGTTGGAGCTGCAGGTGGAATCAGTGGGCTCTTTCAGCAGATTGGGAGGTGGACTGAGAACAGAGGGGCCAACTGTGGACAGAAAACCCCAAAAGCCTGGTGGAACAGCTCCGTTTTGCAGGCCCTGCAGAACAATAAAAGGTCCCACAGGGCCCTGATCTCCAGTGGGAGCTGATTCCACCAGGCCGGGGCCAGGGCAGAAAAAACCCTGGCCCTGGTCGAGGCTAAGCAGACGACCCTCGGGCTGGGGGGTCACCAGAAGATGTTGATCCTGTGACTGCAAGGCTCTTCGGGGCACATATGGGAAGAGGAGGTCCTTCAGATATGTCGGTCCCAGGAATTGAGAACCGATTTCATTCCAGGTCCCGACGGCAGCATTCTAGAAATGCTGCTCTGCTTAAGAGGACGGCTCGTTAAACTTCTAATACGACAGGCTGCAAAAATTTCAGCGTTTTCGTCCCCTACCCCACCCCACCCCGGCCTTTTAATTCAGGTAGTCTATGTAAAATAATCTAATGAACGTTTTATATCAAAATTGCCTGGTGCCACAGACAAAATAATGACTGTGGTGCAGAAGGGGAATGAAATTATAGCTCTGAAAATGTGACTCGGGGGAATAATACTCGAGTTGTTAAAAAAATGGATTCCTACATTTGCAGCAATCCTATGCAATGTTACTACAGATGGTTTAGACTGGAGTAATTTGGCATAGGATTACACCATTAGGACACCTAAATATGCATACACTGAAAGCATACATGCACAGAGAGATGATATTAAGAGCTTCTGTTTTAGACTAGAACACTGGACCGTGAACTGAGACCCAATCCAGATGTGATGGATCCCCGAGCCCACCACGGGGACCCCTCCACCATTTTAGGGATGAAATTCCCCTCTGTTTACAAAAGCCACGGAGGTCCGATCCTTATTGAGACCATGGCACAGGGAGAGGGGTGCCCCCCCCATACACCATCTTCAAGATCCCAAACGTAGGAGGGTTTGGTCTCTTGTAAACTTGCACAGGGGGGGGGCAGGAGCCCCCTAGCTCTTGCACCAGGGTCCAAAGCGGGATCAGGCTCCTGTGGCTTTTGTAAACAGAGGGGCATTTCAGCCCTAAAATGGTGGAGGGGTCCCCAAAGTAGACTTGGGGACAGCATCACGTCTACTTTGGCTCTGAGATCACAGGCATTATGAACTCTTTCTCCCAATAACCTCAATATCTACTAAAATGAATGCCCTTGGGTCAACACTGACAGCTATGTTTGATTTCCCCTGCAGACACAATTGCAAACAGCTAAAGGAAGCAGAAAAAAAAGAGGGGGGCCCCATTGAGGGAGAACCATTTTCGTAATAATTTAATTTCCGATATTAAAAATGTATATATCTGGTTCACAATCCACTATCCTGTCCACTGTCAGTGGCCACCACTAGGCGGGGGGCAAGGAGTACTCGATACACAATTTAACCACGATAACTATTTATACTGCAGACGTCACTCTCAGTGTTACCTATAGCGTTGACTGTGGCTAGACAATTATGATACAGCAGAAAGCACATTTGACAGATTTTTAAAAAAAGTATTATGGAGGAATATTCAAAACGAACAGATTGTTAAACCTACTTTAACACAAGCTTAGAATTAGACGTTATTTCCAGAAAAAAATGCTTGTACACAGAGCTTGACACCAAAGAACTGTGAGCGTCCTTAAAATACCTTCAGATTTCTTACGGTGGAAAATTCTATTATATTTCTACCATCTTCTAATTCCCCTCCCCCAATTCCTTCAACTCATTTCAGTAGTCGGTTCCCAAGGTTTTATAGACTTCTGTTCCTACAGTTGGTGTTCAGGTGCAACTGCTTTTCAGTAGCTTGCAGCAGAACTTTACTACTTTCCATACCAAAATGGAATTTGTTCTAGAATGGACGAACCTTACAATCATTTTAAAGAGGTAGGGCATCTTGTATTCAGGAAGCCAGTCAGTTCTGGGAAGATTTTACCTCTTGCTGGTGGAAAGGGCCACCAAGTTGCAGCTATTTTATTTCTCGTATGGCAGAGTTACACACAGGAAGCGTATAATAATATAAAATACATAACCAAGTTGATACAACGAATATGCAGTCCGACTGGCCAATCCCCCTGAATACTAATACCTAAATTTTCAATCCACTCAATCGCAGCTGGGGAGAGTTCAAAGAGCTCCGTCACATCTCCCTGGAAAGCATGATGCTCACATTCCTGTGACAGACGGGAAATAGTTTGGCGGGCTGCACCTCAATCGCATTCGAGTCCTGGTATCTGGCCCCATTTAAACAACACACTGAATGTTGCTACATGGTAAGTGATGACAGTTATTGTACTGTACAAAAGGTAAAGGTTCCCTTGCTCGAAAGCCAGTCGAGTACGACTCTAGGGTTTCCAAGCCGAAGAGCCAGCGCTGTCCGAAGACGTTTCCGTGGTCATGTGGCCGGCATGACTAAACACCAAGGCGCACAGAACGCTGTTACCTTCCCACCGAAGTGGTCCCTATTTATCTACTTGCAATTTCTTGCTTTCAAACTGCTAGGTTGGCAGGAGCTGGAACTAGAGATGGGAGCTCACTCCATCCTGTGGCACACTCGGGGGTCTCGAACTGCTGAACTACTGACCTCCCACAGCCTGCAGTTCAGCGTCTTAACCACTTGAGCCACCGCAGCTCCATATTGTACTGTATAATTCATGTTAAAAAGTGGTTAATAGGGAGCAATATCATGTCTGATGGTCTGTTTTCGATGTAATTTGGTTTGGGAGCCAGTTTGGTGTAGAGGCTAAGTGCGCGGACTCTAATCTGGGAGAACCGGGATTGATTCCCCACTCCTCCACCTGCAGCTGCTGGATGACCCTGGGCAAGCCGTAGTTCTGTCAGAGCTGTTCTCTCAAGGACAGTCCTCGAAAGAGCTCTCTCAGCCCCACCTACCTCACAGGGTGTCTGTTGTGGGGAGGGGGAGGGAAAGGAGATTGTAAACCGCTCTGAGACTCCGAGTGAAGGGCGGGGTATAAATCCAATCTCTTCTTCTTCTTCCTCTATATCGTTTATCTACTCACACCGAACTTCCCTTTTGTGTCTGTATAGTGAATTAATCCCAGCATAGTCTTTTTGATTGTTAAAGAGGACCCCCTTCCTCCCATTTTCACCAGCGGAGACGCCAGCTGGATCCAACTCACTGAGGGCTAAGTGGGTCTTGCAGAGACCTTGGTATGGACTGCAGTGTGTCGTCCAGTGACGGGGCGCCGCTTCTAGCAGTTGACTCGGGGTGGAAGATTTCTGTCAAAACTGCTGGCGTAATCTAGGTATGTCCGGGTCAAAAGCTGATTTAGAGGCACTCCTTTTGCTTGGCAGTCTGGCCCAAGATAGGGAAGCTTGGAAATGGCAGTGGCGGGCTAGAGAACTGGCGTCGGGGGCTGGGGGTTTTGAGCAAGGCCTACGTGGGTGCTTGTCTGAGGCCGTCTTACCTCTTGGCCTCCTTCCATGATTCATGTGCAGCAAGATATACAGCCCTGAATGATTACTTGGAGGCAGGGCTCTTTTTGTAGAAAAAGCCCAGCAGGAACTCATTATCATAATTGGCCACACCCAACAGCAGGAACTCATTAGCATATTGGGCCACACCCCTGACAGCACAGCCCATTAGCACATCAGGACGCACCCCCATGTTACCAGAAGTCTGGTCATCCAGCCACACCCACCTTTTGGGAAATTTCCCCCAATGATTCATTTTTCTGGCCAAAATATTCCACTTCTAAAGATTTATTGTTTCCTAAAACTAATAGTGAACGGGTGTCATTGCCAATACAATACTGGGTCAGTTTAGCAGTTTCACGCTTGTAATGAATGTTGTTCAGGTAAGATCTTGGCTGCCATATTGGTGTTGCTTGGCAACCCCAAGGGACACTGGAGAGACGTTCATGCCTTAGAGTGTTCACTTATTTTCTAGAGGGCTTAAGAGTCTTTTGTAAGCATTGGGTGTGAGTTTTTCCTGACCTTTTTGGGTAGCATTTTACTCCCTTTTGTTTTCAGTCTAGTTTTCTGAGAGCCAGTTTGGTGTAGTGGTTAGGTGTGCGGACTCGAATCTGGGAGAACCGGGTTTAATTCCCCACTCCTCCACTTGCACCTGCTGATGTGACCTTGGGTCAGTCAAAAGCTCTGGCACAGCTGTCCTTGAAAAAGAGCAGTTTCTGTCAAGAGCTCTCTCAGCCCCACCCACCTCACAGGGTGTCTGTTGTGGGGAGGGGAAGGGAAAGGAGTTTGTAAGCCGCTCTGAGACGCCAATCTCCTCCTCCTCTTCTTCTTCTTCCATTAGCTGGCAGTGCCTTTGAGCATGAACAGAGTGCCTTTCCTGCCACACTGAGCAACCACAGCTAGACTTTACACCTGTAGGATTAGGTAGCAGAATTTACAGACCCTGTTATGCTCCATCTGTCTCCACTTAAGCATGGAGGCAACTAATAGCTTCCTTTTCTTTAAGGTGAGGTTAGGGTTGGGTGACAAATTTACCAAAACAACTCTGCTGAAGAATGAAAAGAAGCTTTTTGAGCCTGAAATAGTTGGGGGGGAGGGATTCTGAAAGTGTTGGGATTTAATAGGAATAACAAAGAAGCACCATTTCTTATCCTATTTTGATGGCTTGCTCAAATATGTTCCTGACAGAAGCTGTACAGTTGTCTGTAAATCCAACCCCCAGCTTCGAGTGCAATAAACTGGGGGATAAGGGGAGTCTTGGGATTGCCTGGTCCAGGACGTTGGGGTTCCTTTCATGTCTGGCACTGCAAATTCCACGATCATATCCAAGCCAGTGGCCTGTTCTGAGGTGCTCAGCTTTATTCTCTGAGGAGTTATGCATGCCACAGACAGACAGAATTCTATTATTTGTAGAGATTTCATTTATTTATAACTTGACTTTCTCACTGAAATGCAAGGTGTGTTACACAGCGTCAATCGATACATGCATTAGGATGAGGGTTACACTTCCGGGTAGCAGTATGTGTGCACAAGATCTTGGGGTACGGGTGGACCATAAGTGAAATCTGAGCAGCCAGTGTGATGCAGCGACAAAAAAGGCTAATGCAATCTTGGGGTGTATCAACAGAGGCATAACATCCAAGTCGCAAGGTGTCATAGTCCTGCTGTCCACTGCATTGGTCAGGGCGCACCTGGAGTATTGTGTGCAGTTCTGGAGGCCTCACTTCAAAAAGGATGTGGACAGAATTCAGCGGGGGTAGAGGAGAGCTACGAGGATTATTAGAGACCGAGCCCTATGAGGGAAGGCTGAGGGATTTGGGAATGTTTAGTCTGGAGAAGAGGAGATTGAGGCGGGACATGATTGCTCTCTTGAAGTATTTGAAGGGCTGTCACTTAGAGGAGGGCAGGGAGCTGTTCCAGTTGGCAGCAGAGGAGAGGACTCGCAAGAATGGGGTTAAATTTAGAGCCGGAAGACTTCTTTACAGTAAGAGTTGCGCAGCAGTGGAATCAGCTGCCTAGGGAGGTGGTGGTGAGCTCCCCCTCACTGGCAGTCCGTAAGAAGCAGCGGCTGGACAAACACTAATGCCAGGGATGCTCTAGGCCAGTGGTGGCGAACCTATGGCACGGGTGCCAGAGGTAGCACTCAGAGCCCTCTCTGTGGGCACGCGTGCCATCGCCCCAGCCAGGCCCAGACCATCATTAAAGTGTCGAATTATCTGCCAAATAATTTCAAGTAAATGAAAGCATTTGGGTTTGCTTTCCTTACTTTGTTTGGATCATCTTAAGTTAATGTATGAGTTGTTTTTTTCTAAAGTAAAACCTCAGTATTCAGGTTAAATTGCCTTGTTGGCACTTTGCGATAAATAAGTGGGTTTGGGGTCACAGTTTGGGCACTCGGTCTCTAAAAGGTTCGCCATCACTGCTCTAGGATGATCCTTGAGCTGGGGGTCAGACTAGATGGTCTGTCTGGCCCCTTCCGGCTCTGTGATTCCGTGACTCTTAGGTCTAAAAAACAATCCGATAGAAGTAGGAATGGCAGGAATCTGAAGCGGAGCTGTCATCAGAACACGACACGACAGGAAGAATGCAGATCCAAAGACAACAAAACTGGGGCCAATATCAGTCCAATAATACACTCTTAAACATTAGTTATGTATGCTAATACAATTACTTTTATACTTGATTATAGTATCTAAGTATACAAAATATTCACAAGGTATACAACCTGATCATACAATATCTTAATGTTATACAATAACACGGTAATACAAAATATCAATTGCTGCCAACAGCCAGAAGATACTAGTGGAATTCCAAAACATGTGCTGTTAACAGTCAAAAGAATGTAGAGCTTCTTGACAAAGCAGCCGGCTTATGCTTGTTTTCGTCTCTTAACTTCCTCAGAAGAAACTTAACTGGTATTGTGTATAAATTTTCTTTATGTTGTAATGTTATTTTCCTGGTTTCTAAAGACTGTTCTCAAGAGTTGCTACATTTAATACAGGGACTAGCCCTTATTTCCTTAAACCATATCTCATGTGGGACCTGTCCTTGATAGACTAAGCTTCGAAGCTGAGAAGAGTCTTTAGAAACCAGGAAAATATTTTGTATACTTAGATACTATAATCAAGTATAAAAGTAATTGTATTAGCATACATAACTAATGTTTAAGAGTGTATTATTGGACTGATATTGGCCCCAGTTGTTGTTGTCTTTGGAGTTCTCTCGGAAGTACCCACCTCCACAATCTTTTCCCTGTTCTTCGTTGGGTTCATGGGAGGTTCTGTCAGCAGTATTTTACAGTTTTGCGTGTCGATGTTCAGTTTTTCTGGTCCAAAGGTGTAGTCCCAAAGGTGCTTCATGTCGTCCCAGTTCCGGACAATGCCGTTCTCCATCGGGTAGTTCACTTCCAACATGGACCGCAGCTCACTCGCTTCATCGCCTACCATAAGGTCCTATGGGGAGAAACGGGAACTGGTAAATTAACATTAAAGTAAAAAGGTAACGGTTTCCCTTGATCAAAAGCTAGTCGAATCCGACCCTAGGGGGCGATGCTCATCTCTGTTTCCAAGCTGAAGAGCCAGCGCTGTCCGAAAACGTTTCCGTGGCCATGTGGCCGGCATGACTAGATGCAAAGGTGCACAGAACGCTGTTACCTTCTCACCGAAGCGGTACCTATTTATTTACTTGCAATTTCTTGCTTTCTATCTGCTAGGTTGGCAGGAGCTGGGATCAGAGACGGGAGCTCACTCTGTCACGTGGCACTCGGGTCTCGAACTGCCGAACTACTGACCTTCTGGTCTGCAGATCGGCGTCGTAACCTCTGAGCCCTTTAAATTAATATCCCCCCCACCAAAAAAAAATGGTTTTATGCAATCCCCTTTGGGGAACAAATCCTATACAAAAGAAACTGCTGTTTTAAATCTAGGCTTCTGATACAATCTTTGGGGGGCCAAGAGACAGAACAAGGGGACAGGTTAGTGGTCCCCAACCTTTTTGAGCCTGTGGGCACATTTGGAATTCTGACATGGCGTGGTGGGTGCAGCAACAAAATGGCTGCTGCAGGAGAAGCCGGAGACAGCCGCAAAAGGATTGCCACAGCTTAACTTCAGTCACACAGTTCCGATCCTTGTGTTGTGGTGGCAGCTGCTGCCAAAGCAACCTTTGAAACAAAATCTGCCCAGCCAATCAAATCTCCAATAATCAATCAGAAGCCTTGCTGGGCAAAAGTCCTACTATGCCCCACCTGTCTCCTTAAAACACTGAGAAGCCAAAAATGAGAGATCATGGGAGGAAGTGGAATTCCAAAAACAACATTCCATGACAAAAATAACGAAGAGTCAATAAAGATAAGTTGCAAAAACGTTTACTGTCGTAATTTTTGTAGAAAATGTTCTTCTGTCATCGCTCACACGCCAACGAATACTGCGCAATGAACAATTCGTTTCACAATATTTGCTTTATCTGAGCATGTAGCATTGTGAAGACCTTGGGTTCTGTTATTAGAGAGTCAACATGGAATGTTTCCTTCAAGAGGTGATAAGTAGAAATCGATAAGAACTGGGATTGCTACACGCTCAGATGAAGCAAATATTGTGAAACAAATTGTCCATTGCGCAGTATTCGTTAGCGTGTGAGAGATAATAGAAGAACATTTTCTACAGAAATTACTACAGTAAAAGTTTTTGCAACTTATCCTTAAAACACTTGGCAACTGCCAGAAAAGGGCTTGGTGGTGGGCACCACAGAGCCCACGGGGACTGTATTGGGGACCAATGTTCCCTCTAAGCTGTGGAGTCTTGTGTGCAAAAATTCTACTTTCTGAGCTGCTGGCATTAAAGTTGTGAGCAAGTGATTTGGCTACTGTATAAATTAGTCTGCTCTGGAGCCATCCCTCCTGAGCTAAGACGGAAATGTGTGATCCGTAGGCTAAAAAACTGTGAGCTGGCTCACACTAACTCAGCTTAGAGGGAACACTGTTGGGGACCCCTGAGTTAAGGTATTCAACTGAAAAGCAGCTCAAGAAATTTATTTGTGGAAGGGAAACAACCACTGTTCCACAATCTGCTACGCCCATATAAATCTCACGGGTTTCAATTTACTTTCCATGCCTCCAGCTTTGGGCCGGACTCTGCCGTGAAGAGTCAAGAAGGGTGACTTGTGCCGTTCTGAAAGGAATGTCAACTCACCGTCATACGCAAGCTACAACCATAGCTCTGGGACACCGGAGGTCCTAGCTTTGCACGGAGCGTTTCTCAGACACCTTGGTATTGTTTTATCATACATTTATATGAAAAGGGGTACGTGATATGGAATTGCACATAAGTAGGCGGGCTTAGCAGAATAGACTTTCCATGCATGTCGTCGTGTTTCCACGCACAGCACTGAATGGGAGTAACGAGAGGCTGCGGAAGCATAAAAAGCAAGCAGCAAAAGCAAATAGGGGACTGCAGGTTCCACATGGGGAGAGGAAGCTATTTTAGCCTATCACTGGCAGATTAAGCCTGCAATCCTAGGCAAGCTCACCTGGTCGCAACACTGTGGAAAATCTGGGGCAGACAGGCACAGGATCGGCCTGCACAATTTTGGGAAGATAAAATATGGGAAGACATTCAAGGCACCTGCAGCTGATGTTGCCAGTTCGAATTTGGGCAATACCTGGAGATTGGGGAGTGGAACTGAGGGAAGGTAAAACCTCAGTGGGGTACAAGGCCATACAGTCCACTTGGGGTTGTGCATTCGGCTTATCTGAGCAAAAAAACACAACAACCCGAAAAACACCTTACCGGTATTTTGCAGGGTATTTTTTCAGCTGGATATCAGCCAGGGTATTTTTCTGGCAATCCAATACAGCCAAACCCCCAAAACCCCAAAAATATTCTGGATTTTTGGGGCCGCTAGTTGGCTGGTGTTAAAGGGTTTTTAAAGGGACTGCAATCCCTTTAAACACCTTCCAGGTGAAGACGTGGATTGGAGAAGGCATTTAAAGGGACATGAGCCTTTTAAATGCCTTCAGAGTTCTACCATGGCTTGCAAAAGGCATTTAAAGGGACCACATTCCCTTCAAATGTCTTTCCCCCCTCCATTGGAAACAATGGAGGATGGGGTCATATTCTTCTGCGGTCCATAGAATTGGATTCCCTGGTCCAATCTTTTTGAAACTTGGGATTTTTTTGTTTGGTTTTAGAGGAGAGGCACCAGCATCTATATTGTAAAATTGGTGCTTCTATCTCAAAAAACAGCCCCCACAGAGCCCCATAGAGCCCTGGATTGACTATAATGGTCCCCATAGGGTATAATGGAGCCAAAAAAATTCAGCAATCCCAAATATTCACCGAATCCAAATAGCATACCAGTATTGGAATTCAGAAATATCGGGAAATACCAATATTTTTCAGGTTTCATGTGCCTCATGATCTATTTAGAAGTTGCAGAAAATGCCATACACTAAAACGACTGCTGTAATTCTCCATGGCCTTTAAAAAAACAACAACAAATACAGGCATCAAAAAGGCAACCTTTATCCTGTGTCCCACCAATATTCTAACTTTGCATGAAATCCAAATGAAGGAACTTCAATTAGTCCTCATGCTTTTAGAGGTGGAAAGCGCTGTCAAGTCACAGCTGACATGGCGACCCCCGGAGGGGTTTTCAAGGCGAGAGACGTTCAGAGGTAATTCCCTGCCTCTGCATAGCAACCCTGGACTTCCTTGGTGGTCTCCCATCCAAGTACTCACCAGGGCCGACCCTGCTTAGCTTCCAAGATCAGTTGAGACTGGGCTAGCCTGGGCTTTTACCTAAAGCTTTTATGACCTGTAAATAGAGATACCAAAAGGAATGCTTCTTATTTATCACGTAAAGACAAATACAAGGAGGGCAACTTCATCTTCAGCAACTGAACACAATACATTATCTAAGCTACAGAGGGAAGCCTCATGGGCTAATATGCACAGAGAAAAGAACTAGATTCAAGTCCGGTAGTACCTTAAAGAACCACATGATTTCTGGGGTTTAAGCTTTCGAGGGTCAAAGCTCCCTTCGTCAGATACAAGAGGAAAGCAGATCTCTGAGTCCTTATATCCCAGTCAGAAGGTGGTAGGGGTGTTGCAGAGTAGGAACTCAGGATGCAGAGGTACCATGCACACTGCAATCATCTTCATTAGAGCAGAGGAGGGATGCTTAGGGACAGAAAACTAATATTAGCAAACTAGTGGCGGTCCTCAAACAGAGACGTTTCAAGGGGAGATTACAACGTGTTCATTCACAAAATCAGAACAACAGATCCCCCCAGGGCTGAACCGGGACAAAGGAGTCTTTTCTCACAACAGATGATGATTTTCTGCCCCTAAGTATTTCTCCTCTGCTTTAACTAAGTTGATTACAATATGTGTTGTACCTCTTCATCCTGACTCCTTTCTTCGCAACACTCCTGCTCCCTTCAGACTGGGATACAAGGACTCAGAGATCTGACTTGTACCTGACGGAGCTGTTTGACTCTCCAAAGCTCACGCCCTAAAATTCGTGTTGGTCTCGAAGGCGCTACTGGACTTGAATCGGGCTGTTCCCCTGCAGACCGTCACGACGGCCTCCTGAAACTATCTGTCAGAGAGCAGAGGGACCAAAATGCAGTTTACTAAAATCGGAAGAAATCAGAATGAATGTCCTTTATGGTTTTCAAAAAAACGACTGTCTTCTCAGTCATGTTGCCTACGGCAGTTCACAATACAATTCCGTGTCAGTTTCGGTTAAATTATCGACTAAATAATTCAGAAGCGAACCTTTGGGAAGATTCGCGCTGGTTCGGTATGGGCCACATGCATTTCAGCCCACTTTCGCACTTTCACGGTTTTTCCACCTACAATGGCCAATTAAAAGGAAGGCAACAAAACCCCAAAATTTGCTCTCCCCACAGAATATGCTTCAGAACTTGCTGTTCAGGAGCATGAGAGAAGAGTTAGAAGACACGGGCCTTTAAACTAAAGAAAAACTGAAAAACTATATGTCGTGTCATGTCCCAAACTAAAGAAAAACTGAAAAACTATATGTCGTGTCATGTCCCTACAAAGTTAGAGCACAGGACACAGGAAGTGTGATATCACATATGCAAGTCAAGCCATTCTCTCCCCCCCCCAACCCCCGGCCCACCAATCCTTCCCGACTGTATCCCTTGATACGGGGTTGTGTGATAAAATGAGTTTGAACTTCACCACACAAGGGGGGGAAACGCTGTAGTTTATGCTTCTGGATGTGCTGCCATCGCAGAATTCACGGCAATGCATCCATGTACAGCGGGGGTCTCCAATGTGGTGCCCATGAGCACCATGCTGCCCACCAACAGCTTTCCTGGTGCCCAAGTTTTTAATAAAGTGGGCAGGGTGGGTCTTTTGCTCAGGAATGCTTACGATTGGTCAATGGAGATTTGATTGACTGTGCAGACTTTTTAAAACATTGCTTC